AGTACTGCCGCCTCCGGAGAGGTGCTTCTGGAGCTCGTCCCGGTACTTCCCCTCCTACCCAGGAGCTCCCCCCCATTCAGGTGATCCGCGAGTGGTACACGCGGCGCTGCAGTCTTCGTAGTGGTGCTCCTGGTGCTGCGGACCCGAGCGGTGGTGCTGTTGCTGGTGCTGAGGACCCGGACGCTGGAGCTACTGCTGGTGCTGAGGACCCGGGGGCTGGAGCTGCTGCTGGTGCTGAGGACCCGGGCGTTGGAGCTGCTGCTGGTGCTGAGGACCCGACCGGTGGCGCTGCTGCTGGTGCTGAGGACCTGACCAGTGGCCCTGCTGCTGGTGCTGAGGACCCGGGCGTTGGAGCTGCTGCTGGTGCTGAGGACCCGACCGGTGGCGCTGCTGCTGGTGCTGAGGACTCGGGCGTTGGAGCTCCTACTGGTGCTGAGGACCCGGGCGTTGGAGCTGCTGCTGGTGCTGAGGACTCGGGCGTTGGGGCTGCCACTGGTGTCCCTGCTGCTTCTGGAGACGCTGCGCGGCCGCGACCGTACTTCGTACCGCTCCTTCAGCAGGTTCTTGGGCAGGCTCCTCCTCCTTGTCCTCCTCCCTCCGTAGAGTGTCCTCCGCCTGTCCAGCCGCAGTCACAGTTACCGCCTGCCTCGCCTCTCCCTGCTCCCTCTCCTTACGCTGGTCCCACAGGAGGTCTTACAGAGCGTCGTGAGCCTGAGTCTCGTCCTGCGTCGCCTATTCGTACTGCTCGCACTGGTCGTCGTGTCCCACGTGAGCGTCCTCCTCCTGTCCCTGGCACTCACTACATGACTCTGCGTCCCTCCACTGCTCCGCAGCGTGTCCCGCTGCCGTCTCCTCCTGCGTCCTCTCTTCCTACTCTTCCTGACCCGGAGTCTGACTCCCGTCGTGCTGCCAGTCCCACTGTCACGCGTCTTCTCGCCACAGTTGTCACTGACCCTACTTTTGAGTCCGCCGCTGCGTCTGCTCTGGTCGCTGAGTTGGTTGACTTTGCTGCTCGCTGTCGCCTAGACTACGCTGCTAGCCTTGTTGCTGAGTCTGAGTCTGAGTCTGCCTGTCCTCCGTCCGTCGGGGGTGAGTGTGCTCTTGGCACGGACGTCCTTGAGGACAGACAGGAGGAGTTCCAGTGCTTTGCTGCTGCTTTGCCCCACCTCGTGTCCATGCTAGTTGCCCCTGAGGGAGACCCGGATGCACCAGACATCCCGACCCCGCGCACTTACGCTGAGGCGATGGCGGGTCCCTACTCCTCTCAGTGGCAGACAGCCATGGACGCAGAGATGGCCTCCTGGAAGTCCACAGGCACCTACGTAGACGAGGTTCCCCCTCCTGGGGCGAACATTGTCAGTGGCATGTGGATTTTCAGGGTGAAGCGGCCGCCGGGTTCTCCGCCTGTTTTCAAGGCGCGCTACGTGGCTCGAGGCTTCAGTCAGCGAGAGGGAGTAGACTTCTTTCAGACCTTCTCCCCCACCCCGAAGATGACTACTCTTCGGGTGCTGCTGCACATAGCCGCTCACCGCGACTACGAGCTTCACTCTCTTGACTTCAGCACTGCTTTCTTGCAGGGCAGCCTGCACGAGGAGATCTGGCTGCGTCGCCCCCCTGGCTTCACTGGGTCAGTTCCTCCTGGCACCCAGTGGAGGCTTCAGCGGCCGGTCTACGGTCTCCGCCAGGCGCCACGTGAGTGGCACGACACACTGAGGACGACACTTGCGGCTCTTGGGTTCGCTCCCTCTACTGCTGACCCGTCGCTGTTTCTACGCACCGACACCTCGCTGCCGCCGTTCTACATCCTCGTGTACGTCGACGACTTGGTCTTTGCCACTGCTGACACCGCGGCACTCGCTCACGTGAAGTCGGAGCTGCAGAGGAGACACACGTGCACAGACCTGGGTGAGCTGACGAGCTATCTTGGCTTGCGGATCACCCGGGACAGAGCACGGCGCACCATCACCCTGACTCAGTCACACATGGTGCAGCAGGTTCTCCAGCGCTTCCGCTTCACGTACTCCTCGCCTCAGTCCACTCCTCTGCCTACCGGTCACTCGCTCTCAGCTCTGCCTTCGGATGAGTCCGTAGAGCCGAGTGGCCCGTATCCAGAGCTTGTGGGCTGCCTCATGTACCTGATGACCTGCACTCGACCTGACCTTGCATACCCTCTTAGCATCCTAGCACGCTATGTCGCTCCTGGCCGTCACCGGAAGGAGCACATGGATGCTGCTAAGAGGGTGTTGCGCTACTTGTGCAGTACGTCGGGCATGGGGCTTGTGCTTGGAGGGCGAGACCGGGTTGTTCTCACAGGGCACTCAGACGCTTCTTGGGCAGACGACCAGGCTACTCAGCGGTCGTCCCAGGGTTACACCTTCAGCCTTGGCTCTGGCTCAGTTTCTTGGCGTTCTACTCGCTCTTCTTCTGTTCTCAGCTCCAGTTGTGAGGCTGAGATCTACGCCACAGCCATGGCTGCTCAAGAGTTACGCTGGCTGACCTACCTGCTGACCGACCTCGGAGAGCGGCCTCGTTCTCCTCCAGTGCTGTACGTCGACAACAAGGCTGCCATTGCCTTGTGTGAGGAGCACAGACTGGAGCACAGAACGAAGCACATCGCTCTGCATTACTTCCTTGCTCGAGAGCTGCAGCAGCATGGTCAGCTTTGTCTGCGTTACGTGGCCACGGAGGCCAACACTGCTGATGTGTTCACCAAGGCACTTCAGCCTTGTGACCATCAGCGCTTTTGCACTCTGCTAGGCCTTGTACCTACTGGGCCTCACTTGCTTACCTCTTGACCTTGCTTGTACTGTGATCACTATATATATATGCCTACTTGTTTACTTTTGCTAGGTTGTGATCACTGTATCTCTTGCTTTGTTATAAACCTGCATGTGAACTGGTCTTGTGACCGCTTGCTTGTGCTCGGAATTTGTGTGGAATCCTTGAGATCCACCCTGAGCTTGCTTTGCTTTGCTTTGACTGGTCTTGTGACCCTGTGGTTGTCTCCCACTGCGCCTATGGGGGTGTGTCAAACATTGCATGCTTATATTATGTAGGCTGTAGTGGGTTACACCTTAGGGGGTACTGAAAGTTAGGGTTTCCTACTTGTACCAAACTATGTGCTAGTTCAATCCATTCCTGCTCAGTTATTTCTGACATTCGCAGCCGTCACCTGTCGCCCAGACCTATCCTACTCCGCAAGCCAACTCGCCACCTACCTCAAAAGACCCGAAGCAGAGCACCTAGCAGAGCTCGACCGCGCTCTTCACTACCTCGTTAGCACCCCGACGATCGGGCTAACCTATCACAAGAACGCAACTACACCGACTAAGCTAATCGGCTACGTCGACGCAGACCATGCTGGTGACTCAGACAACAGACGCTCGCGCACCGGCTACATCTATCGCCTTGAACCTATCGGTCCTATCTCCTGGCAGTCGAGCAAGCAGGAGTTAATCGCACTCTCATCAGCTGAAGCAGAATACATTGCACTCTGCTCAGCCACCAAAGAAGGACTTTATCTTCGCGAGCTGCTGGAAGAAGCGAAATTAGATGAGTTACCCAACTTCACCCTGTTCTGCGACAACCAATCGGCAATTCGCATCGCCAACAAAAGTGGCTTCGCGAACAGAACGAAACATATCGCCCTGCGATATTTCTTCGTGAAAGACGAGATCGAGAAGGGGAGACTTGAACTATCCTACTGTCCCACGTCCGAGATGGCAGCCGACTATTTGACCAAGAAGCTCGGAAAGCAGAAGTTCGAGTACTGCATGCTGCTGACTGGACAAGGCCACGTCATCAGCAGCGACACTCCAGAAGCGAAGGGGAGTGTTGGAAACAAGTAAATCCTAAAGCGCCTCTGTCGTGTCGAAACATCACACCAGAAGCGAAGCGAACCATATCGAGGCACACGCGAGTCAACCCTCGGAGGTTGAAAGAGGTTGCCGGAGGTTACGCGAAAGTCAAAGGTCAGCGACCTTTGACCTGACAAGTACAGCGCGACAGCAAGGACACACAACTGACTCACTACAGAGCAGTTGCCCGAGTCGTCACTGTATCGAACCGCAACAGCAACAGCAAAGTAGTTACAACTGCATCCTTTCATATTCCTTGTACTCATATATAAATGCTTGTATCTCTTTGCTTTAATTAACTTACTTTGCCCTCACATACCAGCGCAAGGTGGTTCACAAGCTTTCATTAAACGCTTCCGCTATCACAACTATCCTACCCTGCGTTTACCCCTGCAAAGATCCGAAGGGCTATCTCAGCCCAACAGTGGCTACCCCACTGCAGCCTACAGAATACAAACTAAATAACGTTTGACAGAAAAGCAAGAACGCGAAGGGGGAAGTGAGCATTGAGTGCGAGGAGAAGACCCACCACATTGCATCGCACCTGAAGAAACGTTTTTGCACGAACGAGCGGTGCTGTGCTCTAATGAGGCTTGAGTTGAGATGGGATGAGATCTTTCGTGGTGATGATGGATAAATTTTAGATCCTCGAATGCAATGCGACGCCGCATATTCCACTTTTGTGAGTGCAAATTCTGAATTTCAAATTTCGCGTTTCAAACCAGGGTTTGCGATATAAGACAAGACTAATTTTATCGTTGACAGACTTGCATATACGGTACGGTATTTTTTCTTACTGTCATCTCTCCTAGGGTTGTTTATTTCTTTCAGCCATGAAACTGGGCAAGTGGCGATGCTGTGATGGGTGTGGCGCTGTGAGTGCATTACCGGCAGTTAGGGTTGCTCCACCAGTGCGCAGCACAATGAGTTCGTGGATATACAATGTTGATGCAGTATGGTGAATGTTCCTAGCACTTGTGTGCCAGAGGAGGATTTTCCTTCACAAAATGCAGTGGGCAGTGTGGTTGCGCGGGTTGATGCCACGCACCAGGCAGGCACAGTGCAGCATTGCATGGGCACGCACAGATACAACATTGCCCAGTACACCATACACAAAGCAATACACTAGTCACCATACAGTACCTAGGGTGGAACATTAATGAGCACGAAGCGCGAGTGTCTTCTACCCCCAGACGACCTCATCTCATCCAGCACCTCAGTCCACTCATCACCCATCACACCCACGAATGCGTCACACTGCGCCGCCACCACCAGCCGTGCCATCCGCTCCCCCTCCTCCCCCCCCCCCCCTGCCCCCCTCCACCACTCCCTTGTACCCACCCCACACCCACCACCACCCTCACCACTCCCACCACCCTCACCACTCCCACCACCCTCACCACCACCACTCACCACTCCCACCACCACTCCCACCACTCCCACCACCCTCACCACTCCCACCACCCTCACCACTCCCACCACCCTCACCACTCCCACCACCCTCACCACTCCCACCACCCTCACCACTCCCACCACCCTCACCACTCCCACCACCCTCACCACTCCCACCACTCTCCACTCCCACCACCCTCACCACCACCCACTGTGCTGCCTGCGCCGGCCGCAAGGGCAGCCACCCCTATTGCAGCTGCAGCGCTGTCAGCAGCAGGGGAGGGGGACAGTGCTGCCGTGGCAGCAGCGGGGGCAGGTGCTGCTTGCCCCTGCAGGAGGCGGCGCAGGCTGGATGGCGAGGGGCCGGTGCGTGGGGGCGAGGGCGAGGGCGAGGGCAGGTAGAGGGTCCAGTCGGGCATGTGCATGGTGTGGGGGGGTGGCAGCTGGGAGGGGGAGAGATATGAGCAAGGAGAAGAGAAGGTGGGAATGAAGGGAGACGCACAGCCAATCACAGTGATTCTTACATGGAAGCTCACACTCCATCTTGCAAGTACAAGGTGTGCTCCTAACGTTTCCTTCCCACGCACTCCTCTCCCACACTAAATCATGGGCTTATTTGCCATACCTCCGCCGCATATGACAATGCCCACACCACACCCAGCGTTAACACTGCCATGTGTTGGTACGCCCCTCCGCCCCTCACCTGAGCATGCCAGCTGACCCACATGTGCGTCATGTCCACATGGGCCAGCCGCAGCACACTCGCCGCCATCACATGCACTCCCACTCCCATCCCTGATGACGCCAGCACGCCTCTTCCCTCTCTCCTTCCTTCCTCCCTCCCTCCATGAGTCCCCGTGCCCTCACGCCCCCCCATCACCACGCCCACCATGGGTCGCACCACAAACAGCGGCTCCCCCCCTACTCGACCATACTCGCCCATCCCCACCCCTCCGCACCGCTCACTGCACCTGTCGAACCCCCTCGCTCCCCACACGCGTGCCTCCAGTCCCACCCCCATGCTGCTCGCCCTTGGCTGTGCCTCAGGATTCGACCCTACAAGAGTATTGGATCCCGGAATCAAATCTAGCGTTGCCAGATCTGATGCTTCGGCTGACAAAGAGAGATTTTGGACGGCAGCTGGGCCTGCTGAGGTGGCAGCAATTGATTGGAGGATGGAGTCGTAGGTGGCTGGGAGGGAAGCAATGCGATTGGCTACGTGCATGCCGTAGGCAATGTGTCTCTGTTGGTTGATGACGTGGCAGAGATGGGCTGATGGCCACCTCAGCATGAAGCGCACCGCCTGCGCCCGCCACCAGTGCACCTTGAGTGGGGAAGAGAGAGGGTGGGGTGCGAATTCATGGCGTGACTCGGAATAGCTTCGATGCACCTGCCTGCACCCGCCACCAGTGCAGCTGAAAAGGGCAAAAGGAGAGGGAACAGAGTGAGAATCATGCAAACGCGAAGAGGTACCCTGCGCCCGCCACCAGTGTAAGTGAGGGAGGAGAGAGGAGGTGGGAAAGAATAATGAGAACCAAGAGACGACACATGCACCCCTTGCGTGTCATCACTGCACCTTTGCGTGTCATCACTGCACCTTTGCGTGTCATCACTGCACCTTTGCGTGTCATCACTGCACCTTTGCGTGTCATCACTGCACCTTTGCGTGTCATCACTGCACCTTCATGTGAAGAGGGGGGACGCTCCCCTGGAAGCATGGCTCCCCTTGCATGGCCAACGGTGCGTCACCACTCACCACCGCTTGGCACATGTTCGTATCTCTACCTAGCTCCCACCCACCTGTGGTTTCAAGTCATCCGCAGGTGGCACCTCCCCCAGATACTCCCTGCGCGCCTGCTGCTCCACATGCGCGCCTCCCCAGCTGACGGCAGAGGCGGCGACACACGCGGGTGGGGAGGCGGAGGGGGTAGAGGGGGGTGAGGAGGAGCAGGGGGTATGGGGGAGAGAGTGGGAGGGGCACGGCAGGGTGAGCAGGCAGGCGAGGCAGCGACAAACAACAGACGGGCAACGTTGCACAAGCAGCAGATGGAGGTAGAGAGAGTGCATGTGAGCAGCATGGCATGAACGGCTTTACATGGCTTAGAGCCATAGAAATTAAGCCTGTACATTTTGGTTGCTCTGGCCTCCACCAATGAGAGAGCAGCACTGCTGGATTGGTCCACGTCAGACGCATCCAGACACACCACCCTCTCTGCTGACGTGGCCAGCTGCTCAAACTGCGAGGAGTCGCGGTGACATGGCGGCATGCGACTGGCAGCCATGGCAGCGCTGACGTCAGCAGAGCAGTGAGGGGAGGCGATGGGGAAGAAGAAGCAGCCCCAGTCGCCCATGCTGCCATGGCTGCCCATGCCGCCCATTGGCTGGAACTCTGCCATGCCATGCCATGCCGTGCCGTGCCATGCCATGCCATGCCATGCCACAAAACGCCATAACATCCCATACCATACCATACCATACCATACCATACCATACCATACCATACCATACCATACCATACCATACCATACCATACCATACCATACCATACCATACCATACCATACCATACCATACCATACCATGCCATCCCATACCAACCCATACCATCCCATACCATCCCATGCCATCATGCCATATCATGAGATGCCATATTATGCCAATCCATGCCATGAAACGCCATGGTATATTAAGAAGACAAGAGCATGGCATGTGTATGTGTGTGTCTGTAGCAGACACACTTGACACATTGTGACGAGCGGGGACAGGCTTTCAAGAATCCATACGAGCCAGTAACACTACCAGGATAAACAGGCGTGACGGCGGTGAACAGTATTTAGGCCAAGGACAAATAACCACTCTGAGGCTATGAGAACGGGATACGTTTCACAAGGCATTAACCTTAGCCTGCCTGGTCATTGGGAATAGTGCCTCTCGAAACACAAGTGCGTTTCCAAGGAGCTTCGATCCTTTTTTTTTTTTAACCTGCCTGTGCACGGAACTACTGCTTTGTTTGAAATTGTGAAGCAGTCACGTGATAACGACAGAATGGCATGCATTGCCCGCAAGCACGCATGGCGCCCACCAACACGTGCTGCCTGCGCTGCGCTGTGAAGGCTGCCCAACCGCCATGCACTCACCTTCGCACACCTGGTTGTTGGCTGGCTGGAAGGTTCCTGGAAGCGGCACGAGGGTTCGGTTGTGGAGCATGGCGAGGGCGAGCAGTGGTGCCATTCCGTGCAGCTGCGAGGCACATGGGGCCATGGGGTGGGGTTCACGCGCAGGCGGTGCATGAGGGGTGGACGAGTCAGGATTCAGGGGCAATGAGGGGCAACGGTGAGGTGAGGGCTAGGGTGGTGGGGGTGAGCGGGGGGAGGTGGACGAGGATTGAGTGAGCACACAACAAAAACGCATCCCACCGTGACAGAGGAACACCGGAGGGGCACCTGACGTGCGAGAGAGAAGCGAGAGGCGTCGGCCCAAGGTGCAATCAGCAGGCGCCTGTCTTGACAGCCACGTGGCGGCATCTGATTGGTCCAGATGTCCCTCTGCGCCTCCCTCGTGTGCGCCAGGCTGTCAGCATCTGAGCCCCGCACCTGCCATGCCATGGGGTGAGGGCACCAGGGGGCAGGGGCGCGCGGGGAGGGGCGCGCAGGGAGGGGCGCGTAGGGAGGGGCGCGTAGGGAGGGGCGCGTAGGGAGGGGCGCGCAGGGAGGGGCGCGCAGGGAGGGGCGCGCAGGGAGGGGCGCGCAGGGAGGGGCAGGCAGAGGTGATGAAAGGTGAGCCGTGAGACGGCAGGCGCGCAATAGCAGACGCCGCATGACGCATAATGAGAGTCGCTTCGCCTCCCCTTGTCCACTGATGGGTCCGCGCCGCGGGCTGCTGTCTGCTGCTGCTCCGTGCTTGGGGCATGCGGGCGAGTGGGAGGGCAGGCGGGCGAGTGGGAGAGCAGGCGGGCGAGTGGGAGGGCACACCGAGCAGAGGAGGAACGACACGAGGAGAGTAGGGAGGGAGGAAAGCAGAGAGGAGAGTGAAGGCGAGAGGAATGGATGGAAGCGCAGTGGGTGCAGGGTAAAGGAGGAGAAGAGGAGGAGGGATGAGAGAGAGGAGGTGAGAGGTGCAGCACAGCAGAGAGCAGGGCGGCATGGGCCGGATGAACCAAGCACTCGTGAGCATGACCCGCGAGGAGACGACTGGAGTGTCTGTGACTATACCCTGGGTGTCTGTGAATATACCCAGGGTGTCTGTGAATATACCCAGGGTGTCTGTGAATATACCCAGGGTGTCTGTGAATATACCCAGGGTGTCTGTGAATATACCCAGGGTGTCTGTGAATATACCCAGGGTGTCTGTGAATATACCCAGGGTGTCTGTGAATATACCCAGGGTGTCTGTGAATATACCCAGGGTGTCTGTGAATATACCCAGGGTGTCTGTGAAAATACCCAGGGTGTCTGTGGCGAGCAGCGGCAGCAGGAAGGCTGCACGGCCCACTTTGGCAAATCCCCCTCCCCCTCCCCTCCGCCGCCCCCTCCGCCCCGTTGTTCCGCGATGAAGCGGTAGAACGACACCTGCGCGCAGTCCTCCAGGTGCGGGGCGGGCGGAACGTTCGCGGGGAGCGTGAGTGGGGAAGGGGGGAGCGCGGAGAGCGGGTCGTCCGCGAGGCCGTAGGCGGCGGTCCACGCGCGGAACAGCGACATGCCGTGCTCCATCGCGCCTGCCTCGCCCGCCGCCGCGCGCGCGAGTTGCACGGCGGCAAATACGCAGAGGTAGAGGCTGAGCGACGCTATTGTGAAGGCTGTTGACGACGCTTTCGGGCGACGCGGAGGCCCATCGCCGTGCAACGTGCGACGTGCGACGCTTCTGTGCATGGCAGCTGCGTGAAAGATGTTCGCCGCTTTATGCGGCGCTCTGTGCAGCGAAGCAAGTGGGTCAGGCGATCATGGGATCTGAATGTTACCAGCCACTACGTGACAAGAATTTGTAACTGAGTTGAATCCGAGAGTGCATGGAGCAATGTACTGTATGCTGAATCCGCGCTCGCTCCTTTCGTTCTGAGTTCATTTTGGAAACATTCCGTAAACCGAGTCCCTTATGAAAGCTGAAGGATCATTCGCGAAGCATCGCGAAACTGCACGAAGTCCGTTTAAACGAATCAAATGTCGCCGTGATCTCGCAATCCCCATTGCTCCACCAGAACCTCTCGGTGGCGCTGAATCGCCTAAAAGGTCCCAGAGGTTCTCTTTCGGTTCAGTCTAGTGGTTGAGTACGACAATGTGCGTTCCAGAGCGGTTTTCTGACTTCACCACTCTCAACCGCGCAGCTAGTCAGCTTGAATATTCATGCACGACTTGTGGACGAACTTTCAGTCGTTTAGATGTGCCGCTTATCTAGTATGAATTCGCACCATCCAGATCACCGCCGCAGGTGCAATCTCATTAGGCCATAGCGTATACTCCTCGCGCCAACGCCCATCCGCGCCTGTCGCTGCTGCTTCTGCCGCTTAGCCTCACACCCGTTCATCTCGGGCCAGGCCCGCATCTCCACCACTGACATCGATTCCGTCCCGCGATCTCCGCTCTCCTCCGCGCCTCGCTTTCGCTTCGCGCCTCCCCCCGATACTCGAGTGCGCGCGGCCATCATGTTCGGGGTGCTCTTCCCCAATCGCAGCTTCCCTCTGGACGTGTCGCGTTTCAAGCAGGTCGACACCTTCCATTGGGTCCTCGAGATGAACATGTTCGTCGGTAAGCCCGTCGCTTACGTAAGCTTTTCACTTAGAAATTTTCAGTAAATTATGTTTTTGATGGTCACTTTACTAACCTGTTCCTTAGGTAAGCGTTTCAGCAGGATTTTCGCAGTTATCCACTTCTCTACCCACGCCGGTTCTCACCCGCATGCGTCCCTCAATCAAGCATTATCTTCCCCTTGCGCCACGTGTCATGTCAACCCACGTGGCAGGCGACGCGTACGACCAGGTGAAGGAGATCTGCATCTTTCTGCTCTCCGAGGCCGCGCTGCCGCCCGGCCAGGCGCTCGCCGTGTACGTGCAGTCGCCCGGCTCGCCCTTTGAGTACCGCGGCGCCGTCCACCTCGGCTGCCCCTCCGCCGTCCTCCCGCTCCTCTGGCCGGCCGCCGTCGCCCCTACCGGCGCCGTGCTGCCGGCCGCGCCGCCCAATGGCGTCCCCCCGACAGCGCAGATCGGCATTTCGGTGGAGCCAATGGCGTCGCTGCCGCTGCAGAACGTGGGGTGGCAGCGGCGGGTGGAGGAGATGGCGCTCAAGGTGGGGCAGAACCTGTTCAACTACATGCAGTCGTTCAGCACCGTGCAGGGTAGCATGCTGCTCGTTCCCTCGGATATTCTCGACCGCTGGTTCAAAAAGTTTCAGGATAAAGCGAAAATGGACCCTGATTTTCTGAATAGGTTTAATGTATAGCCGGCTGCTCCCTGCAGCACTGTGGCGCCTCTGCTCCGCAATTTGTCTGCCTTGCCGCTTCACTCCCTTGTTCTGTACCGTGCCATCCCCTCTTCTTCACTTCCCCACACATGCCATGCCATGCCATGCCATGCCATGCCATGCCATGCCATGCCATGCCTTGCAATGGCTGCCTCTCCCTGCCCACCCATCAGCTCCCTCCTACCCCAGCCCCGCTCTCCCAGCCCCGCTCTCCCAGCCCCGCTCTCCCAGCCCTGCTCTCCCAGCCCCGCTCTCCCAGCCCCGCTCTCCCAGCCCCGCTCTCCCAGCCCCGCTCTCCCAGCCCCGCTCTCCCAGCCCCGCTCTCCCAGCCCCGCTCTCCCAGCCCCGCTCTCCCAGCCCCGCTCTCCCAGCCCCGCTCTCCCAGCCCCGCTCTCCCAGCCCCGCTCTCCCAGCCCCGCTCTCCCAGCCCCGCTCTCCCAGCCCCGCTCTCCCAGCCCCGCTCTCCCAGCCCCGCTCTCCCAGCCCCGCTCTCCCAGCCCCGCTCTCCCAGCCCCGCTCTCCCAGCCCCGCTCTCCCAGCCCCGCTCTCCCAGCCCCGCTCTCCCAGCCCCGCTCTCCCAGCCCCGCTCTCCCAGCCCCGCTCTCCCAGCCCCGCTCTCCCAGCCCCGCTCTCCCAGCCCCGCTCTCCCAGCCCCGCTCTCCCAGCCCCGCTCTCCCAGCCCCGCTCTCCCAGCCCCGCTCTCCCAGCCCCGCTCTCCCAGCCCCGCTCTCCCAGCCCCGCTCTCCCAGCCCCGCTCTCCCAGCCCCGCTCTCCCAGCCCCGCTCTCCCAGCCCCGCTCTCCCAGCCCCGCTCTCCCAGCCCCGCTCTCCCAGCCCCGCTCTCCCAGCCCCGCTCTCCCAGCCCCGCTCTCCCAGCCCCGCTCTCCCAGCCCCGCTCTCCCAGCCCCGCTCTCCCAGCCCCGCTCTCCCAGCCCCGCTCTCCCAGCCCCGCTCTCCCAGCCCCGCTCTCCCAGCCCCGCTCTCCCAGCCCCGCTCTCCCAGCCCCGCTCTCCCAGCCCCGCTCTCCCAGCCCCGCTCTCCCAGCCCCGCTCTCCCAGCCCCGCTCTCCCAGCCCCGCTCTCCCAGCCCCGCTCTCCCAGCCCCGCTCTCCCAGCCCCGCTCTCCCAGCCCCGCTCTCCCAGCCCCGCTCTCCCAGCCCCGCTCTCCCAGCCCCGCTCTCCCAGCCCCGCTCTCCCAGCCCCGCTCTCCCAGCCCCGCTCTCCCAGCCCCGCTCTCCCAGCCCCGCTCTCCCAGCCCCGCTCTCCCAGCCCCGCTCTCCCAGCCCCGCTCTCCCAGCCCCGCTCTCCCAGCCCCGCTCTCCCAGCCCCGCTCTCCCAGCCCCGCTCTCCCAGCCCCGCTCTCCCAGCCCCGCTCTCCCAGCCCCGCTCTCCCAGCCCCGCTCTCCCAGCCCCGCTCTCCCAGCCCCGCTCTCCCAGCCCCGCTCTCCCAGCCCCGCTCTCCCAGCCCCGCTCTCCCAGCCCCGCTCTCCCAGCCCCGCTCTCCCAGCCCCGCTCTCCCAGCCCCGCTCTCCCAGCCCCGCTCTCCCAGCCCCGCTCTCCCAGCCCCGCTCTCCCAGCCCCGCTCTCCCAGCCCCGCTCTCCCAGCCCCGCTCTCCCAGCCCCGCTCTCCCAGCCCCGCTCTCCCAGCCCCGCTCTCCCAGCCCCGCTCTCCCAGCCCCGCTCTCCCAGCCCCGCTCTCCCAGCCCCGCTCTCCCAGCCCCGCTCTCCCAGCCCCGCTCTCCCAGCCCCGCTCTCCCAGCCCCGCTCTCCCAGCCCCGCTCTCCCAGCCCCGCTCTCCCAGCCCCGCTCTCCCAGCCCCGCTCTCCCAGCCCCGCTCTCCCAGCCCCGCTCTCCCAGCCCCGCTCTCCCAGCCCCGCTCTCCCAGCCCCGCTCTCCCAGCCCCGCTCTCCCAGCCCCGCTCTCCCAGCCCCGCTCTCCCAGCCCCGCTCTCCCAGCCCCGCTCTCCCAGCCCCGCTCTCCCAGCCCCGCTCTCCCAGCCCCGCTCTCCCAGCCCCGCTCTCCCAGCCCCGCTCTCCCAGCCCCGCTCTCCCAGCCCCGCTCTCCCAGCCCCGCTCTCCCAGCCCCGCTCTCCCAGCCCCGCTCTCCCAGCCCCGCTCTCCCAGCCCCGCTCTCCCAGCCCCGCTCTCCCAGCCCCGCTCTCCCAGCCCCGCTCTCCCAGCCCCGCTCTCCCAGCCCCGCTCTCCCAGCCCCGCTCTCCCAGCCCCGCTCTCCCAGCCCCGCTCTCCCAGCCCCGCTCTCCCAGCCCCGCTCTCCCAGCCCCGCTCTCCCAGCCCCGCTCTCCCAGCCCCGCTCTCCCAGCCCCGCTCTCCCAGCCCCGCTCTCCCAGCCCCGCTCTCCCAGCCCCGCTCTCCCAGCCCCGCTCTCCCAGCCCCGCTCTCCCAGCCCCGCTCTCCCAGCCCCACTCCACCACACCTGTCAGCCACTCCACCACACCTGTCAGCCACTCCACCACACCTGTCAGCCACTCCACCACACCTGTCAGCCACTCCACCACACCTGTCAGCCACTCCACCACACCTGTCAGCCACTCCACCACACCTGTCAGCCACTCCACCACACCTGTCAGCCACTCCACCACACCTGTCAGCCACTCCACCACACCTGTCAGCCACTCCACCACACCTGTCAGCCACTCCACCACACCTGTCAGCCACTCCACCACACCTGTCAGCCACTCCACCACACCTGTCAGCCACTCCACCACACCTGTCAGCCACTCCACCACACCTGTCAGTGCACATCGCTCACCTACCGGTACTTGGCGCTCTCACCCACTGGGCCTCTGCCTGCGCATCCCTTTCCCTCCTTCCGTCAGCCATCATTTCCGCAGCCATTAATGTCCCCTTCCACACACATTCAAATCAGAATGCGCTCAGCCCATTTCACTTCGCACCAAAACAATTCGCAAGGGGTGATAGCAACAAAAAAAGTGGGGAGCCAACTGAACGGAAGGTGGTGTAAGAGTCTGATAAAACAAGTGGTGGACATACTGCAGAGAGTTTTTCGCTGGGTGTACAAATCATGACTTCAGCATTTATCGAGATTTGCGCGTTTAGTGACGTTCGGATCCTCCACATTCCAAGCAAGCCACGGCCCAAGCGCGCTGTGCGGGCCGTGCTTCTATGCCACGTTCGTGCAACCACCCCGCTGCGGTTGCGCCCTTCCCCATCCACGTGCGCTTAATGCCCCCGCGCCCGTGACGGTGACGGCGCGCTGGAACGCCCGCGCACAGTCACCCGCGCAGAGCCACCCGCGCAGAGCCACCCGCCTGGCCGGGCGGCGGAACGCGTCGCTGCGCGCATGGCGTCCCGCCAGGCGGCGCGCGCCCGCCCACCGTCAGCGCCACAGTCGTGGCTGCGGCTTCTCGCGGCGGCGCTTCTCGTGCTGCTGCTGCTGGTGGCGCGCACGGTTCCGCGTGGTCTGGCGGCGGGGTTGCGCGAATTCTCCGTGGGCGGGGAGGCGGGCCCCGAGCACGTCCTGTCGCTGTACCGCGTTGAGTACCCCCCGCGTTCTTCCCCCTCCCTCTGCATCGTTCCCCGTGTCCTCGTCGCCACTTGCCTTGCCCAACTCATGACGCGAAAATTTCTCGTCCGCCCTCACCTTCTTGCGTTTCCCTTTTCCCCTTTCCTCCCTTCCCATCCATTCCCCTCCTCACCATCGGTCCTCCCCCGCTCTCGCAGGCCTGGGCGGACGCCTACGGGCTCTCCGCCGACTCGCTGCTTCCGCCCTCGCCCCTCTCCCTTCCGCCCTCCCTCCCCCCCGCCCCTCATCTCGAGGACTGCGCCGCGCTCACAGCGCTGCGCCAGCAGGCGGAGCAGCGGGGGGAAGGGGGGGAAGTCCCCCCATGGGCGGGGCCTTTAGACCTGTGCAACCCCTCGCCCCACCCGCCTTGGGTAAGCCGCCCCGTACCCTGCCCTGTTGTGTATTTCAACAGCCCCCTTGGGTACGCCACTCCGTACCCTGCCCACCTCCCCTTTCCACTCCCCCACCCTCCCCTTCCGCCTTTGTCACCCTACCACCACCTCCGATGTCCCCGCCTCCCTCCTTTGTCATCCCGCCGTCACTCCCCCTCCTCCCCCACCCACCCCTCTGTCGCCATGCAGGTGCGTGGTTCTTAACCGGCTCCCCCCCCCCCTTTTGCCCATCCCCACAACCACCCCCCTGTCACCATGCAGGTGCGCGGGACGGACGCAGCCAATCTCGCGATGACACGTGTCGTGCAGAGGGACATCTGGGTGAACCAGTTCCCGGGCGGCTCATGTGCGGACAGGCGCCTGCTGGTGGTGTCGTGGCCGCCCGACTTCCAGCACGGGGTGGGGTCGCAGGTAGGCGCGTGCTTGTGTGTGGGTGGGAAGGCGGACAAGGGGGCACACGCACAGGTGCATGTGATGACCGCTCTCCTCCCCTCCATGCGCCCATGCATGCACAGGTGCATGTGATGACGTCCTTCCTCAGCATTGCCATGCGCCACAACCGCACGCTCGTGCCCGACCCTTTGAACTACAACCGCGCTTACACCGACCAGTGCGCAGGTGAGGGGCCATCACACCATACTCGTGCTTGTACCATGCGTGTCACCCTTTGCTCCCCTCCCGCCAGCCGCCAATCAGCCGCCCACCCATCACGTCACCTCAGATGGGGCTCGCTCTGCTGTTGCCGATCTTGCAGTTCACATGCTACCATTGCAGTTCACATGCTACCATTGCAGTTCACATGCTACCATTGCAGTTCACATGCTACCATTGCAGTTCACATGCTACCATTGCAGTTCACATGCTACCATTGCAGTTCACATGCTACCATTGCAGTTCACATGCTACCATTGCAGTTCACATGCTACCATTGCAGTTCACATGCTACCATTGCAGTTCACATGCTACCATTGCAGTTCACATGCTACCATTGCAGTTCACATGCTACCATTGCAGTTCACATGCTACCATTGCAGTTCACATGCTACCATTGCAGTTCACATGCTACCATTGCAGTTCACATGCTACCATTGCAGTTCACATGCTACCATTGTCTTCCTTCCGTCATCGTGTCAGTTGCTTTGTGCTCTGCCCTACCACTGCCAGTGTGCTACATCTTACCATCCCGTGACATTCGCTTCACAGCTCCTGCAAGTCAATATGAAGCATCCAACAGCTCATCTGCCCTCTACCACCCCCACCATCCTCTACCACCCCCACCATCCTCTGCGCCCAGAGATGGGCAATTCGGGGCGGTGGGAGTGTTACTTCTTCCCGCTCGTGGCACCGGAGTGTGAGCGCGTGGTGATGGCGGCCAAGGACGCCAACAGCGTGGTGTGGGGCAGGGAGGGCGTGGGGGCGCTGTGTGCGTCGCAGCACGGCGTGGTGGGCGTGGAGGGCATGCCGTACCTCGACCTCGACCACGAGGCCACCATTGCCCTGTGCGTGGGGGAGTGCGTGGGCAGAGGGCATGAGTGCTGGCACGAGTGGAGTGGGGGTGCGTTCATGACTGCAGCGCATGACCTCGACCACAACGCCACCGTTTCCCTGTGCGTGCATCAGTGCATTGGGGGACTGCGTGCGAGAGTAGACACGTGTGTAGTACTGAACCTCGAACCAAAGCGGTTATATTATATATATATATATATGTATATATATATATTTTCTCATCAAGCCAAAACTGACCAACTTGAACCAACTGCGGTTCAAGTGGAACAGTTTTGTTCAATCCGACCTTAATTGCCGAGGCGCGACGAACAAAACCAAGTCAGCCACAAGCCGGACAGGCCATCTGTGAGTCTAGGAATTGGGACGCATGTGTTAAAGGGTGTGTGTGGTTCTTACCATAAGTTTGCTACTTAACTTTTGTTTGGTAGTTGCCATGGCACGAGTATTAAAAATGGTTGTACCTAATGTGAACCCGTTTGTATGCATTAATTTGGATCTTCTTAAAAGACCTTAACAAACATTTTTTAAATACTGGTTTGACACATACGATAAAGCTGTTCTCTTAAATCCTGATTAGGTGTTTACCACAAAACCATCACTTATTGACTCGGTGCCACCGTTACTTGAATACGATTTTAGTATTTGGCGTAACTTAAAATAAATAATTTAGTGGTTTCATGCTTACCACGAGACCGTCATTTTACCTTTTTGTTTGATGGTTACCATACAACTTCTATTCATCAAATGGTTTGGTATTGATTATAAAAATTTACTATGTATTTGATATTTACCAAGGGTAAATCCAGGGCTCGTGTCAGACCTCAGGTTCGAGCTGCCGAACCTCCACTCTGGACCTTCCAAGCCTCCACTTGGTTTCACTGTCCCCTCTTTTCCCTGTAGCTGAGCCAAACTTCGGGCCAACCGAGCTTTACCCAAGGGCTGACACGAGCCCCGAACTTACCCCGAGTAGTGGTCTTATGGCAAGCACCAAACCACCAGGAGGAGAGCCAATGGAAAGCAATTGTGAGTGGTGGAGTGGGGGCGGGTGGTTGGTATTGGAGGCAGCACAACCGCTATGACCTCCATGGCTCACCTTGGTGCACACAGCAGGCGGCTGGGCTGCATTAAAGGCCTTCAACCGAGAGGGCATGCGTCGCCCAGTCGTGCTGCCTGTGTGGGCTTTGCTATTACACACGCCATCCCGCAGTTGGGAATCCGTTGCTGAGGCGGAGCTCTCCTGAAGCTTCCTAACTCTCCTTCCCTCCTTCCTGTCTTTCATCCCGCCATCTTTCCTTCTTCCCCCCTCTCCCTCTTCTCTCAGGCGGTGGGGCCGTCCCCACCTGGGCCGCCCCAGCACGGTGTGGTTCCCCCCTGGCGCCGTGGCTAATGATGACAGGACCCCCCAGGTGCGCACAACAACAAGCAACTTCTCACATACATAGTCTCAACAACAAGCAACTTCTCACATACATAGTCTCAACAACAAGCAACTTCTCACATACATAGTCTCAACAACAAGCAACTTCTCACATACATAGTCTCAACAACAAGCAACTTCTCACATACATAGTCTCAACAACAAGCAACTTCTCACATACATAGTCTCAACAACAAGCAACTTCTCACATACATAGTCTCAACAACAAGCAACTTCTCACATGCATAGTCTCAACAACAAGCAACTTCTCACATACATAGTCTCAACAACAAGCAACTTCTCACATACATAGTCTCAACAACAAGCAACTTCTCACATACATAGTCTCAACAACAAACAACTTCTCACATACATAGTCTCAACAACAAGCAACTTCTCACATACATAGTCTCAACAACAAGCAACTTCTCACATACATAGTCTCAACAACAAGCAACTTCTCACATACATAGTCTCAACAACAAGCAACTTCTCACATACATAGTCTCAACAACAAACAACTTCTCACATACATAGTCTCAACAACAAACAACTTCTCACATACGTAGTCTCGACAACAAACTCATCAGGTGTTTGCAACAGGAAGAATCCTCTCAGCTCAGATGTGTGCAACAATACGCTCATGCCATCCCCATGACCTGCTCTCCTCTGCCATCCCCATGACCTGCTCTCCTCTGCCATCCCCATGACCTGCTCTCCTCTGCCATCCCCATGACGTGCTCTCCTCTGCCATCCCCATGACGTGCTCTCCTCTGCCATCCCCATGTCCATCATCCGTTCCACTTCAGATTTGCCACTCCTCTCTCCTCCGCTCCTCTCTCCTCCGCTCCTCTCTCCTCCGCTCCTCTCTCCTCCGCTCCTCTCTCCTCCGCTCCTCTCTCCTCCGCTCCTCTCTCCTCCGCTCCTCTCTCCTCCGCTCCTCTCTCCTCCGCTCCTCTCTCCTCCGCTCCTCTCTCCTCCGCTCCTCTCAACCTCCCCTTCCACCTGCACTGCTGCCGGCTGCACTGCTGAAGCTGCACTGCTGGCGGCTGCACACACCATAAATTCTGAGCATTCTGAGTCACTCCATAAATTCGCACCCCACCCTCCCCCTCCCTGCTGAAGGTGCACTGGTGGCGGGCGCAGGCGGTGCGCTTCATGCTGAGGTGGCCATCAGCCCATCTCTGCCACGTCATCAACCAACAGAGACACACCGCCTACGGCATGCACACAGCCAATCGCATCGCTCGGTTCACTGAAACCCAATCGGAGTTGATCGCTGCAATCAAAGCCGCCCCTCACACCACCGCCAGCACAAGCACAAGCAGCAGCAGCGGCAGCAACAGCAGCAGCAGCAGCAGCGGCAGCAGCAACGGCAGCAGCGTCGGTAGGCTGCCTGCGGAAGTGGCGGCAGTGGGCGGCATGTCATTCGCATCGCCTGCCCTCCACGCAGCTCTGGCCCGCACGCCATGGGCGTTCGACTCCCCCACTCACTCCCTTGCCCAGGACCAAGCAGCAGCGCAGGGGGAGGTGGGGGGAGTAGGGTTGGGTTCGGAGGCTGTGGGGGCAGTGGGGAGTGGTGGTGGGAGGCGGTGTGACGCTGGGGGAGGAGGCGGTAGCAGTGCTGCCGAGGCTGTCAGCAGGCTAGCTGGTGAGGTGAGGCGAGATGAGGCGAGGCGAGGAGAGGAGGGGAGAGGAGAGGAGAGGAGGGGATAGGGGGGGAGAGGAGAGGAGAGGGGGGGAGAGGAGAGGAGGGGAGTGGAGAGGGGGGGAGAGGAGAGGAGGGGAGTGGAGAGGAGAGGAGAGGAGGGGAGAGGAGAGGAGAGGAGGGGAGAGGGGGGGAGAGGAGAGGAGAGGGGGGGAGAGGAGAGGAAAGGAGGGGAGAGGAGAGGAGAGGAGGGGATAGGGGGGGAGAGGAGAGGAGAGGGGGGGAGAGGAGAGGAGGGGAGAGGAGATGAGATGAGAGGAGAGGAGAGGAGAGGAGAGGAGAGGAGAGGAGAGGAGGGGAGAGGAGAGGAGGGGAGAGGAGAGGAGGGGGGGAGAGGAGAGGAGGGGGGGGAGAGGAGAGGGGGAGAGAGAGAGAGGAGAGGAGGGGAGAGGAGAGGAGGGGAGAGGAGAGGGGGAGAGGAGAGGAGGTGTGAGGTGAAGAGAGGAGAGGAGAATAAAGGAGACGAGAGGTGAGGAGAGGAGAGGAGGGATAAGGAGAGGGGGCGTGAGGTGAGGAGAGGAGAGGAGTGAGTTGAGGAGAGGAGAAGGAAATGGGGAGCGGAAAGGGGTTGAGGAAGGTTTGAGCTGAGCAGCTGTGGAGGTGAATAAGCTGCCAAGTCGCATTGCATGTGGAACCTCGTGCCCCACTGCCCCTCTCCATCTCCTCGTGCCCCACTGCCCCTCTCCATCTCCTCGTGCCCCACTGCCCCTCTCCATCTCCTCGTGCCCCACTGCCCCTCTCCATCTCCTCGTGCCCCACTGCCCCTCTCCATCTCCTCGTGCCCCCCTGTGTGGAGCAGGTGGCCAGTGAGGCATACATGGTGCGACCGCTGGTGGCGGTGCATGTGAGGGGCAGCGACAAGGAGGAGGAGATGGGGCTGCTGGGGCTGCCCGTGTACTTGTACTTCGCGCACCAGCTCCGACTGCTGCTGCCCGACCTACGGCATGCATGGATCAACACCGAGTCGCAGGTGCGTGCTGCACTGCGCCCTCACATGTGCTGCACTGCGCCCTCACGTGTGCTGCACTGCGCCCTCACATGTGCTGCACTGCGCCCTCACATGTGCTGCACTGCGCCCTCACATGTGCTGCACTGCGCCCTCACATGCACACCAGAGCACATACCTGAACATGCGTGTGCGTGTGCTCTTGATCGTCTTAGTTTTGCTTCACTTCCAGCATGCAAGACACGTGGCAGCGTGCCTGCACATGTGTGTATCAAGTGAGCTGCGTCCTAACTAAGTAGTTCACCCCACCGTTCGGTTTCTCCGTGAATGATGTTGCAATTCTCAACAACGCATCCCACAACTCCCTTCCTATTCCTCCATGTCCACCCCCATCACGGCAGGCTGTGATCGACAGCCTCGCCTCGTACCACGAGTGGACATTCCTCTACAGCAGCAACACGCGGCAGGCCGCCACGGCCAACAACACGAGGGAGTACGACGACAAGCAGTCCGTCGCTGCCAGCTTCGCCAGCCTGCTCATAGCGGCGCAGGCTGACGTGTTCATTGGCACGCTGGGCTCCAATTGGAGCCGGCTGATGAACGAGCTGCGCTCCACCAATGGGAGGCTCTTCAACAAGTTCATTGCCCTCAATGATGGCGAGTGGTGATTTGAATCCACATGCTACAATAGTGGAGGGTAAGAAACGAGCAAGGCCAGGAGGAAGACTGGCAGCTTGGCGTTGTCAGACCTTGCCGCCTGCTGCCCCATGCCTGCCTCTTGTCCCCCCCCTCCCTCATCGCCACGTCCCATCCCCGCCGTGCTGGCCCATCCATGGGACTACATCACAGTTTATGCCGCGCCCCACCCTGCCCTCACCCACTCCCCACCCCGCTGCTTCCAAACCCAACCTCTCCACTCAACCGTCCACAATCTCAGCTCTCAATTCAACAGTTGGCCTTACCCACTTGGGCCTTCGAGTTGCTGCTGCAGCTGGGGTGACTGCAGCAGCATGAGCACCGCATGGGCTCTCATCGCAGAGCAGCAGCCTGTAGATTAGCCAACGCGTGAGTCATACGGTAACAGGTGGTACTCACCATCAACAGCAGATGGGAGAATCTCAGTATGTGCCCCGCTTTTAGACCGGCTCTTCTTGATGGCACAACATTGCCATTCAAGTTCTGTGGTTCCCTTCTCCGGTTGTCATTGCTAGTATTCCTTCATCCATTCATTTATTGCAGGGCTTCTGCATAACATTCGCTCATTCTTTCGCTCAATGTACTGTTTTGCTTAGACTGCAATCTTCGCTCGCTCACTCGATCACACTCGTAACACTTGGTATTCGGAGCCACGACCCTTTTTCGGATCGCGCCCACACCTTCGCTTCCCCAATTACCGTATCACTATTTTGTCGGGAGGGGGGGACGTCTCTCAGTGACCAAGTACCGCTCCTCGAGTGCTCTCTCGTAAGAAAACATACTACGACAGAGGCTCTCGCTGAGCTAGCCCGACGCCCCCTGTTAGTATCTAGAGACAAGGATGATGCATTGATCAAGAGTTGGGTACATAAGCTAACCCTAACATTGGGTTGTACCCCATATGGGCTACCCCACTAGCAGCCTACACAAACACAATATGCATAGTTTGACACACCCCCATAGGCAAAGTGGGGGAGAACAAGGGGTCACAAGACCAGTCAAGAGAAACAAAACAAGCTCAGGGTGGATCACAACGTCACCACACACACTGAGCACAAGCAAAGGGCCACAAGGCCTGTCCACATGCAGAGGTATATATGCAACAAACAAAGTACAGTGATCACTACCTAGCAAGAGCAAGCATGCAGGTATATATATATATAAAGATCACAGTACAGGCAGAGTCTACAGCAAGTGTGGAAACGTAGGCACAAGGCCCAACAAGGTACAAAAGCGCTGATGATCACCAGACGGAAGTGCCTTGGTGAATATATCAGCAGTGTTGGCCCGAGTGGCCACGTGTGCAAGACGAAGCTGACCACGCTGCTGCAACTCTCGAGCCAGGAAGTAACGCAGAGCGATGTGCTTCGTTCTGTGCTCCAGTCTGTGCTCCTCACACAAGGCAATGGCTGCCTTGTTGTCAACGTACAGAACTGGAGGAGAACGAGGCCGCTCTCCCAGGTCGGTCAGCAGGTACGTGAGCCAGCGCAGCTCCTGAGCAGCCATGGCGGTGGCGTAGATCTCAGCCTCACAACTGGAGCTGAGAACAGAAGACGAGCGAGTAGAACGCCACGAAACAGAGCCAGAGCCGAGGCTGAAAGTGTAACCCTGTGACGACCGCTGTGTAGCCTGGTCGTCAACCCAAGACGCGTCTGAGTGCCCAGTGAGGACCACCTCTCGCCGTCCTCCAAGCACGAGCCCCATGCCCGATGTACTGCACAAGTAGCGCAGTACCCTCTTCGCAGCATCCCAGTGCACCTTTCGGTGCCGACCAGGAGCCACGTAGCGGGCCAAAAGGCCAAGAGGGTACGCAAGGTCAGGACGAGTGCAAGTCATCAGGTACATGAGGCAGCCTACTAGCTCTGGGTAAGGACCACTCGGCTCTACGGATTCGTCCGAAGGTGGAGCTGAGAGCGAGTGACCTGTAGCCAGAGGAGTGGACTGTGCCGAGGACCAGGTGAAGCCGAAGCGCTGAAGGACCTGCTGCACCATGTGTGACTGAGTCAGAGTGATGGTGCGACGTGCTCTGTCCCGGGTGATCTGCAAGCCAAGGTAGCTGCGCAGCTCACCCAGATCTGTGCACGTGTGTCTCTTCTGCAGCTCCGACTTCACCAGGGCGAGAGCCTCAGTGTCAGCAGTGGCAAAGACCAAGTCGTCGACGTACACGAGGATGTAGAACGGCGGCAGCGAAGTGTCGGTGCGCAGAAACAGTGACGGGTCAGCTGTGGAGGGCGCAAACCCGAGAGCCGCAAGCGTAGTCCTCAGTGTGTCGTGCCACTCACGAGGCGCCTGACGGAGACCGTAGACTGGCCGGCGGAGGCTCCACTGGGTACCAGGAGGGAACGACCCAGTGAAGCCAGGTGGGCGGCGCAGCCAGATCTCCTCGTGCAGGCTGCCCTGCAAGAAAGCTGTGCTGAAGTCAAGTGAGTGAAGCTCGTAGTCACGCTGGGCGGCAACGTGCAGCAGTACCCGAAGAGTGGTCATCTTCGGGGTGGGGGAGAAGGTCTGGAAGAAGTCAACCCCCTCTCGCTGACTGAAGCCTCGAGCAACGTAACGTGCCTTGAAGACAGGCGGAGAACCAGGCGGCCGCTTCACCCTGAAAATCCACATGCCACTGACGATGTTCGCCCCAGGAGGGGGAACGTCGTCGACGTAGGTGCCTGTGGACTTCCAGGATGCCATCTCTGCGTCCATGGCTGCCTGCCACTGAGAGGAGTAGGGACCCGCGACCGCCTCAGCGTACGAGCGCGGGGTGGGGATGTCTAGTGCATCCGGGTCTCCCTCAGGGGCAAGCAGCATGGTCACGAGATGAGGCGCAGCGGCTGCAAGACACTCAAGGTCCTCGTGCCTGTCCTCAAGGACGTCCGTGCTAAGAGCACACTCACCCCCGACGGATGGAGGACAGACAGACTCAGACTCAGCGACAAGACTAGTAGCGTAGTCTAGACGACAGGCAGCCGCAAAGTCAACAAGCTCAGCAACCAAAGCAGTCGCAGCAGCAGACTCAAACGAGGGGTCAGTGACAACAGTGGCGAGCAGACGCGTGACAGTAGGGTGCTCAGCATGAAACCGGTCAGACTCAGGGTCCGGAACGTGAGGCAAGGAAGACGCAGGAGGAGACGGCAGAGAAACAGACTGCGGAACAGAGGAAGGACGACGGACGACAAGGTGTGCGGTGGGGACAGGCGGCGAACGCGGACACGGAACACGACGACCGGTACGACTAGGACGAACAGGCGAGACAGGACGCGACGCAGGCTCACGACGCTCAGCAAGACTACCCGTCTGCTCAGTGTAAGGAGAAGGAGCAGGCAGCGGAGAGCCAGGCTGTAACGGAAGACCAGTAGACGACGGGAGAGTAAGAACCTGACGAAGAACAGAGTCAGGCAGCGGCAGAGACGACGGAGACGGCGGAGCGAAGAACAGTCGTGGCGGCGCAGCTGCACCAGTACCGGCAGCTCCAGCAGCTCCTGCAGCAGAACCGACACCTCCAGGCCCAGGGTCTCCAACCCCAGTGCCTCCAGCAGCAGCACCCCCAGAACCAGTACCTCCAGTCCCAGGGTCTCCAGCCTCCACGTCTCCAGCAGCAGCACCCCCAGAACCAGCACCACCAGTCCCAGGGTTTCCAGCCTCCACGTCTCCAGCAGCAGCACCCCCAGAACCAGCACCTCCAGTCCCAGGGTCTCCAGCCTCGGTGTCTCCAGCAGCAGCACCTCCAGACGCAGCACCCTCAGCCCCAGCAGCTCCAGTACCTCCAGTACGAGCAGCTCCGGGACCAGCGACTCCAGCACCTCCAGTAGAAACAGTACCAGCACCACTCCTAGCTCCAGCAGCGCGACCCTGACGGCGACCGTACCAGTCGTGCGGCTACTGCGAGGTGAGAGGCACACGTGGACGAAGGCGGCTACTCCAAGGAGACCGCGCAACAGCAGACTCTGAACCCTCAGCGCCAGCACCCTCAGCAGCTCCAGCGCCACCAGCACCAGGACCTCCAGCAGCTCCAGAACCTCCAGCGCTAGCACCCTCAGCAGCCCCAGAACCACCAGCTCCAGCACCTCCAGACCCCTCACACGCAGGCTCAGCACCTCCAGGCTCGACACCCTCAAGCTCCGCACCCCCAGGCTCCACACCCCCAGGCTCAGCACCCCCAGACTCAGCACCCCCAGAAGTAGCACCCCGAGCAGGACCACCCCCAGCAGGACCTGAGTCACCAGTGACCTCAACCAGCGCAGGGAAGGGAGGAGGGTCTACCTGAGACACACCTGAGGGAGCAGGACCTGGAGCGGGGAGAGGGTCGACCTGGGGAGCACCTGGAGCGAGGAAGAGCGGCGGGGGAGGGAGAGGGGCAGTGCGGTAGGGGAAGAGACGGTAAAAGGGAACCGACTCATCGAACGTGACGTCCTGAGACGCAAAGACACGGCGCGAGGTGGGGTCGTAAAACTGCCAACCAGGCGCGTCAGGGACAAAGCCAAGGAAGACACAGGGAACTGCACGGGCGGAGAGCTTGTCCGCGGTGGTATCGCGGACAAAGGCACGAGCACCCCAGACCCGGAAACGCGACGCATCGCCAACCTTCCCCGTCCACAGCAGTGTGGGCGAGGTCTCCGGCAAGGAGACACGGGGCCAGAGGTTGAGCTGATGCGTGGCGTACCGGACCGCAAACGGCCACAGAAAATGGGGGGCAGCCGCATGGATCATGGAGGTACGAGCGACCTCCATGACTAAGCCAATGCGGCGCTCAGCAACCCCATTCTGCTGCGGAGAGTCCGGAAGCGTGAACGACTGGGTGATGCCGTGCTCCGCACAGAAGGCCGCCAAGAGGTCGGAGGAGAACTCACCACCTCTGTCAGAGTGCAGACGCAGGACGGGAAACTCCGTCCCGAACCGCTCGCGGAGCTGGAGACGGGCAGCGCGGATCCAAGGGATCAAAACAGCAGGGACCTCCCCCTTGCTGCGCAGGGGAAAGACCGTG